AATCATTAAAGAGAGTTCAAGAAATTATCAACTGTGAAATGTTGTCAATTACAACAATGAAAACTGAATGCCCAACGATTGAATATCCTCAAAACGTGACTTACAAATTTCTATCTATGAAAAATATGTGGTCATATTTCATGATTCTACATTCTTGTTCAGGGTGCACGTAAACATAGTTCAGCTGCACTCGTGCAAATCGCCGAGATTCGTTCAGTGATCAACAAGGGTATCAGATTCGTTGACGATTTGTTGGTGAAATATCAGAACGAGTTGAATGCGGACGAGTTGATACCGGAAATATCTGAAGATTTCTGCAGTGAGGTTAGTTGACAAATCGTTTCCAAGCAGTAAAATTCACAAACACTCATTCGCTCAATTTCATTTCCATCTTCGTATTTTCATATTTTCTTCATTTCCGTTTCTTTTTTTTGCATTTTTGTCAATTTGTTCACAGTTCCTTTGAGTCTATTTGTTTCAAATTTACTTTCAGGATTTTACAAAAATTTTGCTCTCCCAAAAAGCAAACGTAGACTCGGCAATAGTGGCGTCCTATGCGTTATCATTATCGGATATGCGTGAAACTATAGAGCGCCTTCTGAATCCCAAATGGACATAGTAGATTGATTTTGGTAGTTGTTGCAGTTTGATGCGATTGATTGTTAGAGTATAGTTGTATTTGGGTTTTGGTTTGAGTGGGTAGTGTTCGATTGACTGGTTGAATGTCCGATTGCTTGGTTGTTGGATTTTGTTGATTTGATATGATTTGATGTTTAGTTGTGATGTATTTCTGAGAAGATTTGCGTGAATTTCTTTAATTTGAGACGAAAGGAAATTACATTTAATACAAATGGGATTTTGAGGGGTTTAATGGATTTTGAGAGCGAATTCACTTGAACAACAGAAGAATTGTGCTGGAAAATATCTGGCAATTGGTTTGCTTTATTGTCATTTGATTGTGGTAGCGGCTGGAAATTTGGGAAATATTGAAAAGTTCTTGAGGCGTTTTTTGTTTGTGGTGATTTTGTTGTGTTCAGAAATTATTTGTGTGGAGGACGATTGTTTGTTGTTGAAAAAGCGAAGAATTGTGCTTGGAAATATGCCACCGGTAGCGTGCTAATTCACTCTGTGATTATTTTATTTGTGCCGATTGAAGAAGTGTGTCAAACTTGATNTGCCACCGGTAGCGTGCTAATTCACTCTGTGATTATTTTATTTGTGCCGATTGAAGAAGTGTGTCAAACTTGATTATTATTATTATGAGGATATTCATTCATTTATATGGTGGCCGCAATTATGATGATTTCTTGGCTATCGTTCTTGTTATTGCATTCATTATTGTTGTTAGTGTTACTGTATTCGTCGGTTTTATCGAAAATTCGTTTTGTTTTATATGATAATTTTTCGTTTTAACGTCATCATTTTCTGGAGTGAAAAGTTGGAGTGAGGGATTTTAGCAGGAATTGATTTAGATTTGATGTAGTTGATCAGTGCTATTGCGTTATCTTATTTCTATGGGACGGAGTGTGTATCATTGTGTCATTTCAACTGAATTGTTGATTGCTTCAAATCAGAGAGATTATATCCGAGTTTATTGAGTACTTTCGTTCTTAGGTTCTGTTGGGCACAATTGCATTTATCAGTGATTTTTTTGAGCCTGATGATTTCGTTTATATAATATTCATTGTGTGATAGTTAAGCAGTCGTGATACCATTCGTTGACTGTTGAATACTTTGAGAGCAATATTTATCCGTCGCCTGGTGGCCAGTTGAATCGCTTTGCAAGTGTGTATGCGCGATGGATATTCAATCGTTATGTTGAAGTGGAAAAGATTTTGGAATTTTTTTCAGAACAAGATCATTTTTATTGTTTATTTGTTATTGATTATTATAATTGTTATCTTTTTTTAAATTTTCTTACTTATTGTTATTATTATTATTGTTGTTATTGTCGAGTTGATGAATGTTCGATTGATCAGTTCATTGATTGAAGTTTTATAAATGAATTGTTTGTTAATGATAATGTAATGAATTTGAATAGGTGTTTAATAAAGTTCAGATTATAAGATGTTCAGATTGATGCAACACATTCAAACAGCTCGGCTTGCTGAGTTAGTCAGTAAGTTTTTATGGATACAGCAATAAAAAATCACTGAATGTTATGCTGTTGAACGAAGAGCATATCTTATACTCGATGATAGCAACACTCTTAGGAACAGAGCAAAACTCAGAGTAAAACACCTAATGGCTGAATGGGGCACATCTCCTGAAAGTTGCATTGAAAAATCGTTTGCATTAGTTTAACAATCTCAATTAAATTAGCAGTCTGATCAACTGAAAGACAGTTCACCTAATAGCGAGGTTATATTCNTGCATTAGTTTAACAATCTCAATTAAATTAGCAGTCTGATCAACTGAAAGACAGTTCACCTAATAGCGAGGTTATATTCGAGTTTTCATCAGAGCGCTGCTCACATGAAGTTTATCTTCGATGAATTTCGATTAACATGGATTAACTGATGAATCATGATTAAACGTGTTATCAAATACTGACACACTTGAATTATATGGAATGCTTCAATAAATTTGGATGGAGGAACTAGTTAACCAACTTTTACACTGAAGTGAGAATATTAACTTTTTGAGGAAGGAAAACTTCATCCATAATGTACGATGCTATCAAAGGTCATTTTTAAAGAACTTGCCAGTTTTACCATTTGTAAGCGAGGTATGTTCAAAATCAACCTCAGCAGATTATCTACTTTCAGAAAAGTGTATATGTTGTCGAACGATCCCGCATACTTCCCTCCCATACAGCCGTTTCATTGAATAATTTCATCACCATAGTGCTATTACGAGTAGAAAATTCAAAACCTGTACAACACTATGACACCATAGGGGTTAAATATTGCTGAACAATTCTTCTTTATTGAGGAGATATAGTTATTTTCTTGATGTTATACACTTTTCCACATTCAAACCTACTGTACTCTCAAGTTTGCTCAGTAACATATCAACTATTCTACACCATTCGATCCAGCAGAATCTCTGGATTCAGAAAAACATATATTTTGTTGGGCGATTTTGCTTTGTTGAGGAGATAGAGCTATTTAATTAAAGCAATCTCAACTAGCGCAGTGACACTCATTGACATGTTATACATTCATCGCTCACTATTGATCAATCTACACATTACTATAGGAATATCGAGGTTTCCATCTTCAGGACCACCGTCTTCTCAGGTTTGCGCAGGAACACATGAACTTCTTTACACCATCTGATCCAGCGGAAGGTCTGCATTCATGAGAACATAATATTGCTAAGCAGATCCTATTACTTGGAAAGGTATAATTATTTTCTTAATGATATGCACTTTTCCACCTTCATGGATGATGTACACTTTTCCATCCACAGTTTCATGCAGTCTTTTAACCGCAGAGGTACTGCTACTGTTGGTTACATTAACTTTGTGCATGGCCAATTACCGTAGTCACCTACCCTTATGGCTACTCCACATAAATTTCATCCAGCAGTTGTGCTTGCATGCAGAGATATAGCTATTTTCTTAATCGTATCTCAAGCAATAGGTGTTGTCATATTCAGACCTACCGTAATCTCAACTTTCCACAGCAACATATGATATTGTGAACCTCATTTGATTCAGCGGAACCTCTACATTCAGAAAAGCATACATTTTATTTCAACAATTTCGCATTCTTCAAGAGATATAGCTATTTTCATAAAGCTACCTCAGCAACAAGCGCAAAAGCGCTCATTCGTAAACATTCTATCCATATACATGAATATCAATGCGTTAGAATAGCTCTATAAGGGTTGCCATCTTCAAGGTAACCGTACTCTCCGATTTGCCTCTATAACATATGAGTTTCTTTGCACCAATCGATTAATCAGAATCAACACTTTCAGAAGATCATATATTTTGCCTAATAGAGTGATAGAATGCGATTTTGCGCTTATTGTTGAGATAGTTTCATGAAAATAGCCATAATTGCTCAAGAAAGCGGAACTGTTCAGCAAAACATATGGTTTTCTGAATGTAGTGATTCCGGTGGATCGAATGATGCACAAAAATTCCTATGTTACAGGCCAAAGCTGAGAAGACGGTAGGCTCTAAAATGGCAACCCGTACAGCGATGAGAAAATGGCTATATCTCCTCATCTAATCATAATTGCTCGGCAAAATATATGATATTCTTAAAGTAGAGATTCTGAGCAATCGAATGCTGCAAAGAAATTTACATGTTATCGGGCAAACCTGAGAGTACGGTTACCTTGAAGATGGTAACTTCTATGGAGCTATAGTAGCGTATTGATATTGATCTAAAGTGATAGAATGTACATGAATGAAGGATTTTGCCCTTGTTGTTGAGATAGCTCCATGAAAATAGCCATAACTTCACAAGAATGCCGAATTGCTCAGCAAAGCATATGATTTTCTGAAGGTAGAGATTCCGTTGGATCGAATGGTGCACACTAATTCAGATGTTACTGGGAAACCTGAGAGTACGGTAGATTTGAGGATGGTAACCCTACAGTCTTGTTATAGCCTTCAATTAACGGCCATATCTTCTCAATTAAGGAGAATTGCCCGACAATATGTATGATTTTCTGAATCCAGAGATTCTAAGAAATCGACTAGTGTAGAGAAATTGATATGTTACTGGGCAGAGTTGAGGGTACCATTAGCATGAAAACGACAAGTTCATGAATATCACATCTGTTGGTATGGGACT